TGCCGCTCTCTTTAATTAAATGCGGATTTAAAAATGCAACCTCAGTCTTGCAACATTAGCCATATAGCAGGGATTCTACAAAGACCCCTTCCTTCCACTCTGATCAAACAACTGCATATTTACTGATACAGCTTAGTCATTTAATCCACCTTTCTGGAGGAGGAAAAAAAAAAAAGTCTTCAAAGCTTCACACTCTGCTTGTCCTGGCAGATTAATTCCAAGTAGCAATATTGCAGAATAAAACCATCTTAAAACAGACAAGCCTAAGATGGGTTTTGTGTTTGCCTTGCTTACCATCTAATACCTGTCGAGTTGAAAAATCTACCCAGAGCTTCACTTTAAACAGCTGGTCAAAGAGCCAAACTTGTTAGATTTCAAGTAAAATCTTAATACCAAATAAAGATGTCCCTGCTTTCAACATATTTCTCGTTGAAATGCTGACACTGAACATTCACTTATGGACTTCAGCTATAATCTGGCAAGCATTTGAAGGCGTGTGTTCATACACATTGGCCAAACCCTGGATTTGATACCGTTCCCCTCCTCTAACTCACAACGTTGTCAGGGAGGTGTCAGGCACTTGCACTTCCATATGACATGTGCTATTAGATATGACTCAACCCTGCACTGACTGCTACTAATTCTGCCACTATTAGGCTGTTCATAACAAAAGAGATGAATGCGAAATGTGCGATCATTTTACTGGAATTCCATGCTTGCAGGAGTGCCCGAAATAATATTTCAGAAGCAGCAAAGGAATTCTAAAGAAATTTGAAAGAAGATTAAAATACTGTAGGGAAGCAGCAGATATTGCTGCAGCAATATTGAGGTTATTAGTGGCAGATTAACATATACAATTAACAAGTGATAAAAGGCTTCAGAAGCTAACAATCAGATCACTGATTTGACATTGAAGATCAAGAATAAAATCATACGCAACCGGCAGGGTTTCTCAAGCTTCCACGGAGCAGATTATATTGTCAAGAAATAAGTAAACTACAGGATAACCTGTTATGTAGCACACGGGGGGTGTGTGGCAGGCTGCGTGTAAAAATGTGTGTAGGATGACTGGTGAAACACCAAGCAAGAAGCAGCTCAGATCCCCCACCTCCCTTATCTACAGGGAATTTACCACAATTCAAAGACCTCTCAAGTGTAGGAAACCTGCAAATTAACAGGTGGAAATAAGGAATATGAATGTTATCTTTAACTGGGCAATTTGAAACGTTCCATCCTCGAGCCGTCTCGAGAGCATACACTGTGTGTTAGGTTGTGCTCTGTGGTTTTTTTAACAATTTTTGTTAAGATTTATCAGCTCAAATTTAAGAACTGTTAACCCAAGTGGCAGCCAGCCGTAAAAGAGAATCTGACCCACTCTCATAGTAAGAGATCAGGGATGCACTTTTGACTGGATGCTGCTCCACATCACTGTTCAGGCCACTACCTGGACACCACCTCTTTCTTCAATGGGAAAAAACGACAGGATTAAACACTTTTACACGATCCTGCTTCTGCTACGTGAAGATGGTCCTGCGACATCTACAAACAACAAGTTCTTTCAAAACTACACTTGCTACCCAAATATTCTGTTAAAAAGTGTGTATTCTTTTTAAGTCGGAGTCAAAAAAAGTTGTAGAAAATTACAGAAAAAGACACAAATACGTTGGAAATGCGGTGTGAATGTACGTTCCGCTGCGATGCTTTCTCCAAAGATAAAAAGAGGTGCCAACACCGAACGTAATGGATTTTCATTTATCTACATATCCTCAAATGTGCACCTGCAAGAGGGTACAGAATCCTTAGTATATGGCAAAGAATTACATTACAATACTGATACTCTAACGTAGATGTCATCAAAGATGAAAAGTCAGGGCATCGTAACTGTCCATCCATCCTCTGTATAAGGGGTAAATTGGTTTAGAGGAGATCGTATTTGGGGGAATTCAAGTAACTGTTGGGTTTTCACGCATGTGCACAAATTCTCAGCTTCACAACCTTCCAACCTTTTCTGTTCAAAAACGGTTGGATACCAGGTGGGCTTTGTGTTTGTTATCCCTTAGCATTTGCTCTTATGATTTATCAGTTCTAAAAGTATCAGCCATCCCATCTGACAGGTAAAATAACAGGCAGTTTATGGGTTATCCAAGTAACACACAGCCTGAAAGGCGTTAAGCCAAACTACCTGCAAATTCTTACAACTAGGGAGCAAGGCCTGGTTTGTGGTGAACATAAAATAAGCCACAGTCATGATGAACAGCTTGACCCATCTTGCTACAGGAAGACTTCCCTGTAGTGAATTCCCACACTTTTATTTGGCAGCCGTAATAAGCATTCACCTTGTCTTATGGAAGAAGGAGTCTTGCATACCAACTGTCTGTAGATTACAATCTTGAGAGGAGAAAATACCTATCTGTAGTTAAATCCTACTTAACCACCCACCTTGTTTTCCTCAGCACCTTCAAGGGAACAAAATTCCCTATTCCAACTATTTTTTCCTCCTTTCAAGAACGGTGATTTATTTAGATTATCTTAATGCCTAGGAATTCAGTTTCTGTACTTTACGGTGGCAAATACCGAACAACACATTATTTATTCAACTGTTCAACACCAGCAACACTCAAAGTGGAAACAAATAACTTTTGTTATTTCTCCTCTTACTAGAAACCATGCAGTCAATTGCATTTCATGTCGAGATACAAACTTTTCAAAGAATACAGCTGGCACTATTCTAGATGGCTGAGTTTTGGCTACATAAGAAGTCAACTGTATTCCAGCCCATGGCCCCAAATTCCCCTACTTCTCCCTAAACCGTTCTTCCCCTCTTTGAGATAACTTGTTAACATGTGTTCTAGAGTGTATGCACAAACAGGCCATTTTTCCTACCCTAGGGCTCTTGGAAAAAAATAAATATCTCACTGGCTAGAGGTATGTTTGGAACAACCATGTAACAAAGCCGCTTGTTAGTCCATAGAAGTTTTGTGTGACTCGCTAAGTCCTTGGACCAGATTTACTTAATTTATTGTTCCTAGTTCATAATGTGGTTTTGGCACCAGACAGTTGAAAAGCTCACTCCAAAAATCAAAGTTACAGAAAACTAACTTGCTGAAGGCAATGCATGATGAACTAACCTTTTGTAGAAAAGGAGACAAACACAAATTTAACCCAAAGCATAAACAAAATAGTAGCCAGCGGTGCAGGGGGGAGTAAAGTTTAAAGAAGAAACACATGGAAATGACGCAGATTTGTAGAACTAGCAACTCTTTCCTTGTCACTTCAAGATAAAGGTTCAAGAACAAATTCTGCTTCAGGAAAATTACTAATTGCTAGCCAAAGAAAGTTGGAGACACATAACTTATGGGAGAAGCGTAAGTGGGAATGAGACCTGGCATCAAGAAATTTCATGCTGCAATCCACCCTGTAACTGAACAGATCTCGCCATGGGCAAGTCTACTTTACCCCTGAATTTTTTTTCTGATCAGTAAAATGGGAACAGACACCTCATCCTACCTATGTTGGGAAAGATCCTGCAGATTAAAAGTTACTTATTATTAAAAACATGTTCTCAAAGGCTTTGCCAACTACAATATGTTCTTGCACAGCAAAACTTTGACATAAACCAGTAAGAAAGTCTATCTAATCAATACTCTGCTAGCTTCTGAACAAAAAATGGGCATGCCATGTGTGTGCATGCCCCTTTTCCCTCTGCCACTGAAGAAACCATATTGCAGACTGGCAGGAAAGCTCTAAAACCAGATTTTTCACAAGGCCCTACTCCAGGCAAGAAATCCATCACCAGAATGATTTCCTAAATCTGCTGTTAGCTTACTTAGTTGGGTGACTACATTTCCTTAACAGATGCACTCCACTTTGTTAAAAACTTGGATGGGAAGTCCACATGCCTTGTCTACTTGCCCTTATGTTCCTAAAAATTTATCTGGGGCAGGAATAAGTTTCAATCTTGCCCCAAAAAAAGTGCAATTTGCTGCTCTGACTGTTACTGTATCTACTAGGTAGCCACATAATGTATCTTAGCAAAGACTGGGTCAGTTTGTATGAAGACATTTACAGACAATATATCTTCCTGTAGTGACCATGGCACTGCAACTTTTGAATGCCTGAGATCTTCAGAGGGTGAAGGAATCTAACACAATCTCCCTTTGGACAGCACAAACAAGCAGTCTTCTCTTCACAACCTCAAAATGAAAAAATGGAAAGATCACCTGATTGTAACTTTGTACAGCAAACAAGCGCTTGATACAGCCCTCACAAAAATATCACATCCTCTCACAATATCCATCTTTACAATGGCCCAAGAACCACCAGTGGAGTAAAACACAGATTGAATAGGAAATGAGGAGAGAAACGCAGAAAATGGTCCTGTATTTAAAGAATGAGGAATTTGGAGGGGGGGACATTGCAATCACCCAGAGGAATAGAAAATGGGGCTTCACCGGCAAAACTGCAGACCTCAAAATACCGGAGAGATGATAAACATTGAATCAGGAGAGAGAGATCTGCGTGCCACGGCAGACATCACAGTGGCCCTAAATTCATCACAGCAACGACTGAACTGCTCTGCAAGGCAAGGTCTCACGAGATACAACGTTTGCTTGCAAAAAAACCCCACCGGTTTTGAGCAGGGTCTCGAGTGCACACACAGCCAAGAAACACCGCATCTCAAAACTGGTTCTGAAAACAGCCAGGCGCTGCAGCACAGGCCACGTTCAGCACCAGTTGCTCATGACAGATAATTTTTTTGCTCAATTTATTTGAGATGGGGCCACGTTTCCTACTCACACGGTTCAAAACAGCCCCCAACCACCCCCCCCGGTATTCAGTCAGCATAACAGAGGAGAGATGGTGAGTCTCCCCTGGTGATGGGCTCACGGCAGCCAGCTCCCGGGGCAGACTTTTTGGGGAAAGCGATGGCGAGCGGGGAGCAGGGAGCCACGTGGGGTAGCAGGACAGCGGGGACCTCGAGAGGGTCCGCGGGTACTTACGGACACAGAGACAGGCCACCAGCTTGGCAGCCTCGTCGGGCACCGGGCAGGTGGGGAAGATGGGCTTGAGCAGGTAGGTGGCAAAGACCAGAGCCACGATGTACTGCGAGGAGGGCCGGATGATGAGCAGCTCTATCCAGAGCTTGAGGAAGGCGGGCAGGGAGCCGTACACCTCCAGCATGTAGGCATAGTCCCCGCCGGATTTGGTGATGGTGGTGCCCAGCTCAGCGTAGCAGAGGGCACCCACGATGGAGAAGGCCCCGCAGACGGCCCACACCACCAGAGACAGCCCCGGCGAACCGGCCTCTCGCAGAACACCCGTGGGGGTGACAAAGATGCCGGAACCGATGATGGTGCCCACGATGATGGCCACGCCGTTGAGCAGCGTGATGGAGCGCTGCAGGGTCACCCCTTCACCCTCGGCGGAGGCGCAGGGCGAGGGCGAGCGGGCGCAACCGTTCTCCTGCGCCCCACCGCTCGCCGTCTCCAGCATCTTCTCCATCGCCTGCTTCTCCTCCTCCTGCGCCAGCGAGGAGGCCGAGCCCGCCGGGCTCCTCTTCTTCACCGCGTTGCCGGTGCTGCTGCCGCCGCCGCTGCCCGACATGGTGACGAGGTGCGGAGCGCGGCGCGGGGCGGCGGAGCGGGGTGCGG